GGTACATCCACACAGGTCATACCTGTCCAGGTACTTCCACAAAGGTCTTACCTGTGCAGATGTGCCCACACAGGTCTTACCTGTCCAGGTACTTCCACACAGGTCATACCTGTCCAGGTACATCCACACGGGTCATACCTGTCCAGGTACTTCCACAAAGGTCTTACCTGTGCAAGTGTGCCCACACAGGTCTTACCTGTCCAGGTACATCCACACAGGTCTTACCTGTGCAGGTGTGCCCACACAGGTCTTACCTGTCCAGGTACATCCACACAGGTCATACCTGTCCAGGTACATCCACAAAGGTCTTACCTGTGCAGGTGTGCCCACACAGGTCTTACCTGTCCAGGTACTTCCACACAGGTCTTACATGTCCAGGTACATCCACACAGGTCTTATGTGTCCAGGTACATCCACACAGATGGTACCTGTCCAAGTACGTCCACACAGGTCTTACCTGTCCAGGTACATCCACACAGGTCTTACGTGTCCTGGTACATCCACACAGATGGTACCTGTCCAAGTACGTACACACAGGTCTTACCTGTCCAGGTACGTCCACACAGGTCATAGCTGTGCAGGCACGTCCACACAGGTCATAGCTGTGCAGGTACATCCGCACAGGTCATATCTGTCCAGGTATTTCCGCTCACATAGTACCTGTCCAGGTAAGTCCACATGTCTTACCTGTCCAGGTAAGTCTAGACACATAGTACCTGTCCAGGTAAGTCCACATGTCTTACCTGTCCAGGTACGTCTACACATGTCTTACCTGTCCTGGTATGTCCACTCACATAGTACCTGTCCAGGTACGTTGACACAGGTCTTTCCTGTCCTGGTATGTCCACACATGTCATACCTGTTCAGGTGCGTCCTCACAGGTCCTACCTGAGCAGGTACGTCCACATGTCTTTCCTGTCCGGGTATCTCCACTCACATAGTACCTGTCCAGGTATGTCGACACAGTTCATACCTGAACAGGTACATCCACACAGGTCATACCTGAACAGGTAAATCCACACAGGTCATACCTGAACAGGTACATCCACACAGGTCATACCTGTCCAGGTACGTCCACACAGGTGGTACCTGCTCAG